ATTGGAACGGAGTTTTGGATTCAAGAAAAGACAAGAAAGGTTCCTGCAAAGCTTTTAATTCAACATTGCCCCAAACTTTTTTTGATTTGAAAGAAGAATTGGAACTAGAGGATATATGGCGGGAAAGAAACATGGATGAGAAAGACTATACTTTTTTTTCGGATAGGCACCAATCCTATTCGAGAATTGATTTTTTTTTGATAACTAATGACTTTCTTTCCAGGGTGAAGAATGTTAAGATTTTTCCTAGGACATTGTCGGATCACAGCCCAGTGTGGATGGAATTATTTCGTGAAGAAGGAGAGAGAAGATCTTGGAGATTGAATGAAAATTTGTTTAGATATGATATAAATGTGCAGAAGTGTAAGGGTTATTTGAAAGAATTTTTTTTCTTAAATATGCATAAAGGTACTCCGATTTCAATAGTTTGGGATGCTAGCAAGGCTTATATGAGAGGTATTTTGATTTCTATGAATACTGTTTATAAGAAAAAGCAAGTACAAAAACGAAAAGATTTAGAGGAGGAGATTAAATTGAAAGAACAGGCTTTTATTTTGAATCCGTCAGATAATAACTTAAAAGTATCTATAAATATGCTTAGGAACAATTTAATATGTTAATAGCTGACCAGACTGCAACTAGTTTAAGGTACATGAAATATAATACATTTTGTAATGCAAATAAACCTGGAAGGTGGCTGTCATATCAACTACGGAAAAAACAGAAATCAAGAATTATAGAGAAAATAGATTATAATGGCAAAGTGACATTTGAACAAAATTTTATCAAGAAGAGTTTTTTGGAGTTTTATTCTAAGTTGTATGCCTCTGAAAAAATACAAAATGGAGAAATAGATAAGTACTTACAGGAGGCACATTTCCCTAGATTGTCCGATAATCAAAAGGAAATAATGAATAGTTTAATTACAGCTGAGGAGATCAAGGGAGCAATTAAGCACTTAAAGGTTGGTAAAGCTCCAGGTACAGATGGATTCACAGCAGTTTATTATAAGATACTAATTGAAGAAATGATAGAACCCCTATAGGTACTGTTTAACAGTATACTGTTGGGCAAGGAGGTACCTCCTACTTGGAGGACTGCTTTTATAGCTTTAATACCAAAGGAGGGTCAGGATTTGACGTTACCTAAGAATTACAGACCTATATCTTTATTGAATATAGATTATAAGATTTTTTCTAAAGTATTGGCAAATAGATTAATGCAAGTGTTGGGTCAACTGATTCCTAGTGACCAATCTGGATTTATAACTGGAAGATACATGAAGTATAATGTAAGACAGATTATTAACTTAATGGAATATTTGGAAGTGAATAATCAAATTCCGGCTGCTTTTATATTTTTAGATGCTGAAAAAGCATTTGATCAATTGGATTGGGGTTTTTTGTTTCAGGTTATAGATAGAATGAATTTTGGGGAAATTTTTTTTTCTGCTCTTAAGGCCATTTATCAACAGCAGACAGCACAGATTATAGTTAATGGGGGGGTAACAGAAATTTTTAAAATTGAAAAAGGAACTAGACAAGGATGTCCTTTATCTCCATTGTTATTTGTGTTAACAATGGAGATTTTGTTAATTAAAATTCGAGAATCCTCGGTAATAAGAGGAATTAAGGTTAATA